CATTATTTTTTTTCATTCTCATTCTTCTACTCATTTTCAACCACACATTCTTCAATAAAATAATATTTTCCATCACATCAATAATTTTTCCTTCATTTTTAACCACACATTTTCTATCAATCTACTATTCAATAATACATTCTTTCAAAAAAAATGTGTCCCAAACACAAATCTATAAAGTGTGTAAATATTTTTGTACATTAGCTTCTATCGGATTTATCCTAAGCTATTTGTAACATCCACCATTATATATCTTTGATTTTAGAATATCAGGATCAGTTTTTTTGACAAATTACAGAATTATTATTCATCTTTAGTTTTTTTTTTTTTTAATATAATGCACACGAAGAAATTTTGCATGTTTTCTCTATGACGACAATAGTGCACTATTCTATGATGAATCATGCTATAAGTACATTAAGTTTCACATCAAGTTTTACATTGTTCCACGTGGCGCTATCACATTGGACAATTTTTGAATTTAACACACTTTCCCTCCAAACCCTATTTGAATATATACACAATGTCAAACTTCATGTAAAGCAAAGAATGTACAAATAGCATTATTCATTTAATAATGCTTACTTANATGTAAAGTAAAGAATGTACAAATAGCATTATTCATTCTATAATAGTCATCCTGGTCAAATCCACCAAATTTGGAGTCATTTGGTAGTGGTGGGTTGCGAAGGAGATGTAGATTATTCTAGCCTGGAAGTAAGTTGTGAACTATTGGTTTCTTTGACATAGTGATAGTGGTGGGGTGGCGTCAAGTAGGAAATGTAAGTTCCTTGATCATTGTGGCGGTGTTGTTGCTAGGGTTTAGGGTGTGGGAATGAGGTAACAAATGGTGAATAAATTAATACATAGTATGTAATGTATAACAAAAGGTGTAACACAATATGTTATGTGTAACAAAATCGGTAACAAAAATTCTTAGGCCGTGTTTGATAGGCCACATTTTCTGAGGAAGTAGGAAAGTATTTTCCACTTTTCACTTTTTTGGCTGTTTGATAGGAGAAATTTTCCACAGAAAATATTTTC